TAGAAAAAAATCCTTTGGAAACTAAGCTTGTATGAGGGATACAAACAGCAACTTCAAAACTGAGCATGCATGAGGAGAAATGGGGTCGTGCATGATCTTGTGTGCATATATTAGACATTCCCTCTGTGGAGCGGGCGCAAGGTTGTGCATGTGCATTTTTTTTTTTAAGTGGAGCGGGTGGGTCTTTTAAAAAAGAATGCTAAAATTCTCCACTATACGTTAAAGTTATTCAATAAACTTTGCCTTCATATATTAAATGTTACCCTCTATAGATACATATCAGAACATCTGTTACTAATGTCATCATTTTGAAAACTATTTGCTTTTTATTTGCATCATGCTTTTATTTTAATAATTTATTCATTTTTGCTCAGGAGTTTTTGACCAAAACAAAAGTGGCTTGGTCTGCAAGCTTTTTAAAAGTTTAGAAGCTTGGGAATATGTTAAGAAGCCAGTATCCCTGTGCTGTTTGCCTGTTTATTTTAACTGTCATTATTTTCTAGATGGATATTAATAATATGAATTGTCCCATAGAAATGATTTCCATTAGCCTGCTGTACTTGTATCAAACTACACCTGAAGGCCACTAGATGGCTCTGCTGGAGAGACTTACACAAATAGAGATTTTCCATTCATCTTGCCCTCCAACATATTTTACAAAGATAGCTTCCGGCTAAACTATATCCATTCAGTTAAGAAATATTATCTAAGTTCAAATCAAAACTTCAAAAATACAAATCACTGACACAGTGTTCCACAAAACCCTATGATGGTAAAATAGATGTAACTGCTTCTATACCAGTTCAGAATGCTGAAACTTGATAGCTCCACTGGGAATGACATCCTGACTTCTTCCTTTCTCACAATTCCATGTCAAAGGACATGAGTCTCCCAAACCTGTAGACCCATCCACATCACAAAGTGGACATAAAGTGAGGAAAAAGCTGCGGATATCCTGATTCCAAGGACAGGAAGACCTCTCTTCCTTTACCAGCTCACTCAGAGACTGACATCCTCATACAAACAGCACACACTGTGGCATTGTTGACAGGCAATGAACGCTGCTTCCACATCCCAACCCTGGAGCCTTCATGTCATGGTTTCTTTTGATCATCTCTCCCTTTACTATTAAAGTGTGTATTCTTATTCTCTCCAGGGTCTTTACATAACTGTCTCTGTGATAAATAAATAAACTAAGATCTCTAAACTGGAAAGAAAAAAAGCTGAATTACAGATTTATGCTTTGAACTTAGCCCCTCTGATTTCTTATCAGTCCCATGACGGCACATAACCCCCCTCTAAATTAGCTTGAGCACTCCCCCATCCTCATTTCCTTATATTTGCTGAAAGCAGAGATCTGTTTTTCATCATAATGTCAGGGGCCAAATCTCTGTTGTGCCTGCATCTGAAGCCAGTGTGGCATGGCCTCTACCATTCTCTTTGCAGAGTGCAATGTCATTGTAAAGCCTTTGATCATGCCTGAATCTTCCACTGCAAATTAACTAAGAAAAAGCTTCAGCTTTTGCATGAAAAGCAAAATAAGAACTCTCCCAAATTGTTCCCACAGCAGCCTTATCAGTAACTGACAGAGGGAAGGAGAAAGTGCTCAGGGAGAGTGTAAAGTTTCATGTGTTGGGCAGCTTACTCTGACTTCTCTAATCTATCCAAATAAACACTTTACTCCCTCCCTGGTTCCAGGGGTTATCACAGACCCCCTACCCCCACCCCACCTAAGCTCCCAATGCTGCTTTTAACACAGCCCAGCCTGCTCTCACACTGCATTCGCATTTAAGGCAACACAGGATACAGACTCCACGACTCATATCGTATGTTCAACCAGAGTCAGAGTGAGGAAACAGCATGTCAGGGAAGGAAGCGCAGAAGCTGATGGGAAAGCACACTTTGCTCCCACTATTCAGAGCTTTCTTCTGAGTCCTGTAACTGGTCTTAGGTAGATTTGAATGTTTTCTTTTTTAAATATAGGCTAACATTAGTTTAGGTAGAACAAAAAAGAAACAGGTTAAGGACTTAAAAGAGGAGTGGAAGTGAACAGATTCAAGATCTGCAGAGAGAGGGTATAAATCAGGAGGAAATTCTTGAAATTCTCCACGTCTGCTGTCGCCGTCCAACTGCAGGAGCTTGGGGTGTCTGGGTTGCCATACGGTAAGTACAGAAAGAATGTGATCATTTGTTCATTATGAGATTTCTCTCTAGATAAAGCAGATTTAACTAATAATCACAACAACGCATCAGCAAAAGTAATTTTATTCATTTTAGTAGAGTCCGAGGTAGACTTTGAAGATGGGCAGCAATATCTAAAAGCAATAAAGTAAAGTTAATGAAAGAAAAATAAAGATAGTATTTATAATAATAAGGATAATTGATTTACATCTAAATTACAGGAAGAAAGCAAAAGTATTCATTTAAATAGAAGTCTTAAATGCCTTGTCAATCAGATTAAATGATTTCTTTTTTCTTTTATATCTTTTTTTGTGAGACAGAAAATGGGTGGAAACAGTATCTGAACACAGAGATACATAAAAATAGAACATTATCACATTTCTCATTATTAGCGGTATGGTCTGTTATTGTTGCTTGGGGCTCATTGTTCTGGGTGGTGGTTATCCTGAAGTTTGGGGAGGGTGGAGTCAATGAAGCCCATTTCCTCCACACGAAGCGCCGTGCATTAATCGGTGTTGACTTTCCACACATTTCATCACACTATTTAAGAAACTATAACTTAATGGCTCAGCCTTTCATCAGGGCTCTCTGTAATCCGTGGTTGTAGGAAACTGCAACATTACAGGGAAGAGAAGTCTTTTTGATCAAAAGAAAATGGACAAGATTGTTTATTGAGATGTATTGGGTAAACACGGGAGGAAACCTTGCAGGCCCCTAATGGCCACGTATTCATGCTGCAACTTCAGCTGCATCCCTGATCAAATGCATCTGGATCAAATTGCTGAATTATCCTCTCAGCATCATATTGATGAGTATCTGACTTTGCTGTAGGACAGTAGTCCACTATAACTGGAGATGAGAGCCACTTATTGTCAGGGATTGGTGGAGTACCCAAATGCAGAGATGAAGAGATGAGTTTGCTGATTTATTTAAGAATCCCACAGGTAACTGAAGCAAAGTCCAAAAAAAAAAAAAAAAAAATTAAAACCAAAAAATCAGCAAACAAGAAAACAACAAGAAACCTTCAATGAGGAACTGCACAGGTGGTGTATATATAGGGAACAGAACAAAGAATGGCTTAATGAGCTGATATGGAGCAAGTGTGAATAGAACTAACTAGAAGGGAGCCGAGGGGAAAGGAAGCAGGCAAAACGGGGCAACAGAGAGTAACACAATAATACAACACTGCCAGAAAATAACTAGAAAAACACATAATTAAAAAGAAACTAAAAATAAAACTGAACAGGGGGCAGAACCCTGACACTTATCTGGAAAAAGGTGCTCTCTTCAGTTGAAATTTGTACTAAACTTTTTAGCTTACCTACAAAATGCTGTGTGTTGTATAAAGCTAACCTTACATATCAACCTAAAAGCAGCATCTCCAAATGAAACTGTGGTTTAAGCATCAAGCAGTGAGGATGTTTTTTTGTTTTTTTTCATTGTTTTATGAAATACAGAGGGGATGAAAATGTATAGTTTTGCAAGATAGTGTAATCTAAAAAAACTTGTTTCAAAAAGCAAAAATAAAAAAATAATACACACTTCATGTTACAGTTATTTGAACTGAACTGGAGTGACGCTGTTAGTTTTTCCTGCAGGATACGCATCCAAGACAATGAGTCTGTCACGAAATGGGACGCTGGAGAAGACGGTGTCTGATCACGGCCATTCTGAAGCTCGCTCCTTTTCCAGAGCGGGGTCAGGGGTCGTGGTGCCGCCTCCTTACTCTCTGGGTGGCAGTGAAGCTGCAGACGGCCCCCTGGAGCTTAGGGGTTCTCTAGACTGCTGGGCCTGCTCTGTGCTGGTGACTGTACAGAATCTCATCATCGCCCTCATCAACGGCACACTGGCCAGTGTCATCTTTGGCGTCATCCTAACTCCTGCTCTGGTCATGATCATATTTGGCTTTCTCTGCCATTCCACAGTAAGAGTTTAAAGTATAAATGTGCAATAACACGTCAGAATTGTCTTAAAATGATGTTGCCAGATGCAAAGCAGATAGAAAGTATCGGGGGGTGTTTTTGCAGGGATTTGACACTGTTTTCTCAAATCACACCAGAACCTTCTGGAGCTTAACTCCAGCTGTTTTGGGCTCTAACATGCAGCTCATGTTTCTTTGCACAGCGGATTGTCAGCTTAATAAAATAATCTAAAGGCAAAGCGAGAATTCCAGTGGATTCGCTTGCATAGTGTGTTGACAGAGTGAGGGATGCATTTGTTGCTCCTACACCTTTACCTACATATCATATCTCGTCTCCAGGTGCAGCCCCATGGAACATCTTTGTACTGCTCAGACCTGCTGGATGACACTAGCTGCGTGGCTCTGCTGGTTGTTGGCTTTTTGCTGTTGACACCTCTGCTGGTGCTGGCGCTTGCCGCCTACTGCCGCCTGGCTCGGCACCTTCAGCTCGGCATGTGCTTCATCCCCTACAGCCGAGCCGTCTACAAGAACCTGCCCACCTCACGCCAGCGGGGGCCCAGTGCTGGAAGCTGCTGTGGCCAAAATGAAGGGAAAGAAAGTGATAGGAAGGGCAGTGTTTGGGTTTAGGGGATGAAGATGTAGATCAGTGATGTTATTCTGAGAGAAAGCGTAATTGAAAACCCCAAATATCTCATCTTTTGTATTGTTACTTTGTTATTGTTGAGAGTTTTTTGTATTTGCAGCGTTGCTTTGGTAGACTGTTTATGGAAAGAATTTTACTACTGTTTTACAATAAAATCAACATTTATCTGCACTGAGTTTTATACAATGTCTAGGCATTACGTTAATGCAAACAGTTTACGAGTTGACGAGCTTGAATTCAAGCATAATCTTACAGATAAAATACAGCATGTTTTTTACTGATTTCACAAAACTGCTTGATCAAAACACCATTTGGATTATTTGCTAACCATAGATCAGTCCAGTCCTGTGTTTATTTTAACCCAACAGGGTTAGGTTATAGGTTTGACAGGACATCAAACCAATTAACAGTTTAAAGTATTTACTGTAGGTTAAGAAAAGAGTAAGAATAACACACAAAAAAATTGAATAGTTATTTGTAAACTGTTCTCATCCAACTGCATTAGAAGTAACTACAATTAATGAACATAAAGGAAAGAAGCACAAAAAATGGACTTTTGGAGTGTTAAATATCAGTAACAAAATTCATATTCATATTCTACCTACAGATTAGGAACTATAGAAATATTTTATTTAGTACTTTTTTTTATTTTTCATTTTGGTATTTGCTCATGGCACAACCACAAATTTCTGTTTATTAGTTTAAAATTTACTAACACTTGTATTTATCTTTTCTAGGTAATACTGTTACAGAAGAAAGTCCTCCTATAGCAATATGCTGTTGCCACTGCCATATTTTTAAACTGGATATGGTGTGTACCAGGGGATGTGCAATTCTAGTTTATCCTACTAAACGTTTGGTTTTGCATATTGACCAGGAGGCTCAGTTTTTTTTTTTTCTCATCCTACCAGATCATCCCTTTTCATATATATTTGCTTTCTGTAGTAACATTTCCCCACCCGTACAGTATAGTGGATTTATACCAGAGTTACCATAGCAAGGTTTTACCTTGATTTATACTTTCATTGTATCTATAACCATTATTTTGTCATTTTTAATGTGGTTTATGTGTAAAGAATAATAACATTGACAGAAGCTATTATTCCTTTATGTATGCCTGGCACAACATATTACAGCATTGACTTTTGTGGTTGCAACATGGGAAAAGTAAAACAAAAAGATGTATATACCAAAGATGAAGGGATGTGGATACTTTTGCCAGGCATTGTTTTTTTGTTTGTTTTTTTTAATTATTTTTTTTATCCCACACAGAAATAAAATAATTTTTATTACTAACCACAATGAAATGATTCTTAGAAAAAAAGATACTGTTTTCAAATCCATAGAAAAGGTATTAGACCACATGATCTGCTAAAGACCAGGAGGGACTTGCAGAGGCACATTTGTGGTGTGGGGTGACAAAAAATTTATTTAAATGTTAATAATCTGAAAAAAATTAAAATTATATATATATATATATATATATATATATATATATATATATATATATATATATATATATATATAT